GTGTATATACTAATAATTTGCTCGAAAATCTATATATATACGAAGTAGATTTTGGTCGATAACCGAATCTTCTGTCTAGGAGTGTACAAGATCGTCTGGCAGCGGTGCGCTACATGATGGAGCTCGAGCCCGTCAACTGTCCCGTGGTGGTGGACAGCGAGAGCGGCGCAGCTTGTGAGGAATACACCGCTCTGCCGGAGAGGCTTTTCGTAGTGCTTGACGGCAAAATCGTTTACCACGGTGCACAAGGACCATATGGCTATAAGGTTAGTGGTTGGGTATCTAGTAATGAGGCGAGTGATAGTTTTCTGGTCAGCCAGTGTTTTAAATTAACCATTTAATACTTCCGGTTTTATTTGGTCCGCAGATGGCTGAACTGGAAACGTGGTTGTCTAATTGGAAGACATCAGCCTAGATCACCTGCAGTCCACCACGACCTAGCCTACGTTGGGATCACTCAACTTCTAACAGCATCAATACTACTATGTAACAAAATTTTAATCATTTTTATGCTCAAATATGTGTCTTATTCATTGTAATGGTTTGAGCTCATATATCGTTCGAGCTTTTTTATCAAACTGATGCGGCGTTTGCTGACAAGCTAAGCAGTGATGAGAGACGTTGCCATAATATAACTCTCATGAAGACTTGGATCCCAAAGTGCTTATGCGACACTCCAAGACTGACATTTAATCGCACCGTACATATATTTGTTAACGTCTCTACATAAACTTCTTAGACGAATTTCGCTTAACTGCTCGGTTTGTTGTTCATTTTGGTAAGCGCCAAAATTATGGTATTGCATTACTTCTGCAATACAGTATCGTGGATCAAAATGTTTCTGATTTCCCCCTTCCAACGGATATTCATTCGGAATAGAAGTTATTTTGAGCTTTACTAACTGATGCAGCGACTTATTAATATACTACGGAACTTATATATAGTAAAATTTGAAAAGAAAATAAATACATTATTCTATTCTATAAGCAGGTTTCATTGAAGACCAGAGAATACGTTTTATTGACAATCACAATACCAGTGTAAAGTGTAATACCACAATACAATACCAGTGCAAACGAAAAATGTTGTTCGATCTATTGAAAAAACTAATAAGAAAATTGTCAATAAAACTAATTCTCTGATCTTCAATGAAACCTGCTGTTAAAGGAACAAATTTTGCCAAAAATATACTAATATTCTATTCTACTATTTATGATGATGAACGATTAGGAATTTTATTGAAAAATTATTCAAATTTTTAATAAAATTTGCTCAAATAGTGATTTTCTGTTTTTTACGGCTTCCAAAAAGCTTATTGAGTTATTTGAGTTTTAATCCAACGTCTGAAGCGCAATCAGTTGAGAGTTGAAGACAGACGAAAAGTTGGCTGCGAAAGAAAAAAAAAACGCTACCGACCTACAGTAACTTCAATTTTTGCCCCAGAGCCCAGACAGCCCAGTTGCAATGCGGTGACCACTGACCACAGTGACCACGCTATGAACTGAAGTATGAATGTTCTACAAAGTTTGATTCAAATTTCAATCATAATCTTCCTTATCACAATTTCCTTCCCCATCGGCTGGTGGAAGACTGGAAGTGCAAATAGTAAAGTGATGAATAGAAGTGTCGGCGTTGAAGAAATAGGCCCATGGCCTGTTGCCGATTCTTGAACTTTTCGTGACTTGATTCACAAGGGATCCGGCCTTTGGAACCCGATCTTTCTATAGCTGACGATTAATTGAGATAGCTGCTGGTCTTATTGCCTGATCCGTAATTTGCTAGGCATTTTAAGACTGAACATATGCTCCTACTAGTCCTACAGGCTACAAAAGTGGAGACTGGAGTTATCGAAAAGCAGCGGTGAACTGTGAAGTATCCAAATTTCTGACAGTCTCAGTTGTGCTCGCAGGCTGCAGCCTCAGTGCCTTACTGCTGAGTGCTGACTGCTGACTGACTGCTGACTGACTGCAGAGTGCAGACAGTCTGCAGTGTCAGCCTAAAGTGGAAGGTGTGCTACCTGATTTTCAAAGTCATCAAATAAATTAAAAAATAAATAAGTATTCTATTTCATATTCCATAAAATGTACATGTAAAAGTTACAAGACAGACAAGGCTCACACTCACAGCCTCACAACTTCATGACCTAAGTGGAAAAAACGCGATTTCAGATGGATTAGTTCGCCTGTTAATGAATTCCGTAGAGGGCTTAGGCTGCGAAAAATTGGCACTAATTCCGTAAGATGCACAAAATTGATAATGAATTCAAGACGAATTCCGCAGCGCAATCAGCAAAGCAAAATCCGCGCAAAGTTCGAAGCCAAGAAGAAAATACGGAAGCCAGACACGCGCGATCGAACAGAAGCTACTGGACCAGGAGCAACGTTCATGTTCGTCAACCCACTCAACCGTAGTATTGCTTGAGAAGCAAATATGACGTGAACGCAAGCGTGACGCCGTGAACGCGATGTACGAATACCGCCCTTCGGCTTACCAACACCAAGTACGAGAGTAATGAGACAACAAAACAAGTCAGCAACCCTGAAGTTGATGATCTGCTAATGTGCGGGTGGGCAGTGTACTCTATTACTGTTGTGGGGTTGCCTTCATGATATAACACATCTCTGAATTGTTTGAGCACCGTAACCAATGGTGAGTCGAACTGGTTTTCATTCCTTTGCAACTAAATAATGTATGTTTGATATAATGTATTTTCCTATAGTAAATAGGAGTGGGAACTTTGGTGAGGCTCTCAATTGAAGACATGGAACATTACTCATTACTGCGCTGTCACGTGTCAGCTGTCGGTGTCTTCCAAAGTTCATTTAAATTTTCGAACATTGCTTCATAAAAACCAAGGACTAATCCATCTTCTTCATTATAAATTTCTTAGTTTTTCAGTATTCTGCGGAGTGTAATATCTGTCTCTTATACACATCTAGATGTGTATAAGAGACAGACTGTGACCCTAGTTGAAGCAGCCTAACGATAAGCAACGTAGCTGCGGCTTTGGTTAAGAAAAACTCAATCATTTTTTTCGCCTAGCATATTGTTTTGTTTTCTGCCTACATTTTGGTAGAACATTTAAGTTCTCCTGAACAGGAAAGAAAATATAAGTTCGTTCATCATTTTTTATTTTCTTGAGTTTCGTAACTGTCGTTGCTTTGCCGGAGATGCTTCCTGTGAAGTGCCCACCATAACACTTATTGACTTGATCATATTTTACAATGAAAATAATGTTTCTAACTTGTTTCTAAAAGTAAGTTGCGACATCACTCAACCAGTTGAATGCAATATCTACCTTATGTCTACATGCGTTGGTAATTTGTCTAAGTCGTAATGGGTAATCATATTAATTTGTGGAAATTGCATTTGTGCATATTTTACATAATAAATCCTTTAAAAAATACATATAATATTTGAATTGCTATAATCAACAATAACAGTAAGA